CATTCGAACAGATGAGAATGTCATCAAGGTAGACTATGACTTTTCCTCCTCATATGAAATCACCGAGTACGTCATTCATCATTGCTTGGAAAGTTCCTGGTGCGTTGCAGAATCCGAAGTACATGACTGTGGCTTCATATAGCCCTCGATGTGTGATGAAAGCCGTTTTCCATTCGTCACCCTTCCGGATGCGAACATTATTGTATCCCCATCGCAGATCGATCTTAGTGAATATCGATGCTTGACTGAGTGTATCAATCAAGTCTGCTATGCGGGGTATTGGATAACGGTTCTTCACAGTTACGTCATTGATCTTCTGGTAATCCACAACTAAACGCAGCCCTCCATCATGTTTCTTGACAAAGAAAACAGGAGAGGCCAGCGGGCTTTTGGACTTTCGAATATACCCCTTTCGAAGTTCGTCGTCGATCCACTCGTCGAGAGAATTCCTCTCTTTCGGAGACATTGGGTATAGTTTGGCCGGTCGAGGTAGGGCAGCTCCTTCCTCGAAGTCAATACCATGATCATATGGTTTGCGCTCCGGCATCCGCTCCAATTTCTTTTGTGAGAATACGTCCCCGAACTCGTGTAGATATTCAGGGATGAGAGACTTCCACTTGGTGGTGTCCGCATCCTCCTCCTCAACATCCTTGTTCAGAATGCTTGCGACAAATTCTGCCATTTGTAGGTCCTCCGGATCGTCTGTCGAGATCCAGTTGATGTATGGATTTTCAGTACACTCCTCTCCTAAGGCGTCCAGCGGAATGACTAAGGGTTCCTCCCTTGGTAACTGAAGCTCGTCGGTTTCTTCATCAGTCACACGATTAGTTTTACAAGCTTTGGGGGCACAGCTCTCAGGGCACCTGGTGTACCTCCACTCCCCTTTGGCCCAGTCGATCTCGGGATTGTGTTTCCTGAGATAGGTCATGCCGAGGATCATGTCCTTTCTTCCCAAATCTGCGACTAGCAGTGGGTGTGTTGACTTACGTGATCCTATTTCGACGTAGGCTCTAACGGACTTATTTATTTGACCGCTTTTATTGGAGGTCCCGTCTGCATTATAAACGTTGTATGGGGTTGCCAGCTTATGCGTCACCAGGCTGTTACTTTCAACAACTGACCGATTGATGAACGATGTTGTGGCCCCTGAGTCTACCAAAGCTTCGACCTGCACTTTCTTTCCGTATACCCACAGTGTCACAGGCAGAGTGAATGAATTCTTGTTGCGAGAGATATTTACAAGACTGCTGTGTACACTATCTACATTGATTCCGACGGTGGGTTCCGATTCCTTAAGTACATGTTCGCAGATAGTCACATGTACTTCTTCCAAAAATCCGAGGTAGCTGCGGTGGGTTCTGTCTTTGCAGACAGCTGGGGTTCATCCTTCCCAGCCAGAGTCGATTCCTCGACGTTCGCAATCTCCTTGATTCTCGCAGTGTTGGCGCTCACGGCTTTCGTGGACGGGGGCGTGTCGTCCTCGCTATCCGTAAGCTCGACTTGAATAACCCGCGTTTTCTTAGCCTTCTTGACTGCGGGGTTACCACTTCCTCCTTGTGCCTTCTTAGCGCCATCCCCTTGGGTCTTCGGCCGCTTGTCCGCATTTTTAGCCAACTTGTAGCAATCATCTGTGTTATGAGTCTTCGACTTGCAGATGACGCAATACTTCTTTGCCTCTGTCGAGGTGGCCTCAGCGTCCCTTGCCTTGCCTTTGCCTTTACCCTTTGATTTCGACTTTTCAGCCGAATTGATGTCCATGGGAACAGCGCTGCCATTATCCGAGCCACTGTTCTTGAATACTGAGCCTCGTGCCTTCTCCGGGTTGACGATCTTGTTGATGTTGAGCAAGATGTCAAGGAACAACGTCCAATCCTTTGGCAAGGTGGACTCGTCCTTTCCGGCCAACACCAACCGCATATCACGAGGTATAACCTCCCAGAGTTTGTCGATGAGGAGACTATCGTCATACTCCGTGAGACGTCCGAGGGTGCGGAACCTCTCAGCGTACTTCACGAAGTCCTTCGAGGCCAGATCCTTATTGATGAACAGCGCCGTGATCTCCTTCTTTGCACCCTCCTTGTCGTCGCGTTGCCCGTATATCTGGGCTAGTTCCGCCACAAATGCCTTCCAGGTGCCCAGATCCTTTCCTTCCCGCATTTTCACGTAGTAGCTCTTCATGTACTGATAAGCTGGTCCTTGCAACTTCGAGAGGGCCGTGACGATTCGCTGTTTGTCCGTGGCCACTCCCTCATGCTCACACCATAGTATGATCAGGTCCAGCCATTCCTCAAGCTTGGTCTTATCCTCACTGCCCTTGAAGGCTGGAGGCTCCCCAATCTTAGGTTGACGGAAATGACCACTACCCGTTGACGCAGGTAGCGCATCGACTTGTCGCTTGTAGGAATCGACTAGCGCCTGCTGATTCTGGACCGTGATATGCAGGGATTCCACCTCTCGAAGGAGGCTCTGAAGGTATCCGTCGTAGTGCCTGCTTATTTCTAAGGTCAGGCGACCAATCCAGTCTCTGACTCGTCCAGTGGTCGATTCTGCAGCATTCGCAGTAACCGTTTGCAGCAGAGCTGCTTGTTCGTCAGAGATGTTCACGTTCTGGAAGATTGCATTGCGCCACTCTTCTTCCGTGGCGATAGCGGATGCTTTGGTCGGAACAAAGGGGATGTATGGGGCCATTTCTTATTGTAGTGATTAGCCCGTATTCACTTATGATTGAAAGAAAAAAAGTGAAGCAAAGGAGATCTCCTCCTCATGCCATATAAGCCAATTATGCCAGAAAGATTGCCAATCTTTATTCCACTATCTACACTTCGTACTTGAAGGTGATGTTTAGGCTAGCCAACTCATTACAAATCTCCGACAGGCGACTGCTTAAGTCTTCGAAGGAGACATGCCCGATCCTTTTCAGGTCGCGCTTGATAACTCTCCAGTGCCTGTTGGTAAGCCGGCGCGCCTTCTTCTCCAGCCCATGATACAACTCGTCGAACCCATCACCCATCCTCCTGACTTTCGCCACAACTTCCGGCTCCAAGCTCCCTTCTTCCTTTTCCATTCAAGCGAATACCGGTTCCAGCCTGTCGGCTGTGGCGGCAAACATCTCGTTGTACTCGGATGTGCGCAACAGAATCTTTGTGCACTGGAAGTGAATGTCGGGAAGCGGCTTGGGTGGTTCATATTCGTAGGAGGGTCCCGCCTACATATCAATGCGATCGATAAGGGGGGGAGCAGGGTTGGAGATACGATCGAGCAACTGTTGCTTCTTGAAGAGATGCGCGCGAAGTGCGAGCTTCTCGATGTCGTGTTTCGCTTTTTCAGCGCGTTCAGGGTTGAAGGGGCGGCGAATGAGTGGTTTGATGGTGGGGCGTACGATTCAGCGAGGTTTGCCAACGTCGTCGAACTTGTGCGTGTTGTGGATGGCGATACGCTCACTCGTGCTTGGCAGTGACAATGAAAGGTTTGGCTTTCGGCATGGCTACGGCAGAGGGGATTAGATAACAGCTTTTCAGCTGGCTCTTTTCAGAGCGAAAAAAAGGGTATGTGCTATACTACAGGGTCCATTGGTCGTGCTTCATGTCGGCGTCCTCCTGCTCTCTCTCAGCAGGTAGGGAGGGGGGAATACAGATCTCAGTCGGGTTTCCACACCCACTGCAAGTGGTTTTGGGAGAATCTTACACTCTCCCTAAGGCTGCGCATGCTGGTTATCCGTCGTAAGCCCTAAGGCCTCATAGAATGGTAAACCACATTCCAGCATGTTGCCCATAAGGCAGCAACCTCCCCTTATGCCTAGGGACCGGCGAAAAGCTCAGCATGTTGACACCAATTGTTCAACCCTGACCAATAAAGGTAGGTGCTTCGCAAAAAGGTATTGCCACTTTTCAGTTGACAAACCATAACCCCCAGAACCCACATGAAAAGGCCACCTTACGCTTTGCAGCATAGGGGCATAGCAACGACCAATAGACCCTGTAACAAAGCAGGTAGCAAGAGACCCTTGCTAGGGCCCAGTGCACCTTAAAGCAGTTCTATTCAACTATCACAAAACCTATAAACCCACCTTATAGCTTGATGGTAAGGGGGGGAGATAAAGCACTTAAGTGTGGGGGAGGTAATGCTGTTAAGCACAACAACAAAGTGAATAGAACTGGGGGACAGGGTGCCCCAGGATGCTGCTTTATATACATGAGGGAAAACCCCCCAGGGACCGGTAATGGACCCCTGGTACCTAGCTGGGTAAGGATTACTAAGTATCATATGCTCTATGATGTCATATAT